TCTATTTATTCTACCGCTGATCTTCATCCTGTGGTAGCGCTCCATCTGCTTGGTGATGTTCTACCGTAGGTGGTGGTCGTCATTTGGCGTCATGGTGGCGTTGATGGCGGAGGGCCTGCCAAGGATGGCACCTCAATTTGCTTGGAGATGGTCCAGTGGAAGATGGTGGAGACGACACTTGTGAGTGCGTCAGACCGGTTTATACCCCAGACCCGGTATGTGGCTAGGCTGGGGATTCCGGCTTTCGATGTTAGGTTTAGGTGAGTGGTCTGGGTAGGGGCCCAGCTAGCACCCCTTCATCATATGGATAGGAGTAGTGGCATATGTTGCCTAGTTGGTGGATTCAGGCTTATTGTTGTAACACTTTGTAAGGTCCTCGGGAATAATCAATAAAGTGGCCGTATGCATCTTCCAGATGCAGAGGCCGGGGGTCATCCTCCTTTTCTAAAAAAAATGTACAAGTTTAAGTTTAAGTGTCTCCACCTTAACCCTATTGTTGTGATGGTTTTCAAGAATTTGGTCAACTTTTTTTATGATATAGGTTTCTTGTTCTTCAACTGTCTTATCAGCCAATCCAAGCGTATGTTCATTGAGTTTAAGGTGGGAATAGCGTCTCCAGGCATGTAGAAATCCGTGAGAGACGCATGCAGCACGAGCTGCATCTTGCACTGTCAAGAGGGAGTGTATATAATGTAGAATTTCCTGCAAAATCGATGTTGACAAGCTCAACAATTAGATTGTAGCTAGCAGCTAACTTTAGCTAGTACGTAGTTGACATAGAAACAACAAAATCATATTTATACAGCTTGCTAATTTGTGCATGTAGTTGACAGTTCATGCATACAGCTAAATAAGTCCTCCATCTAATATGGGAACAAGGGAGTGCATGTATAGCTATTGCTGCGATTCACGATGAATGGTTCTTATGGAAACAAGCATGGTTACCATTTACTTGACATCATATTGCGATTTTATATTAGCAGAAAAAGCAAGCGAAATTCCTAGGTCTAGATGCATCATATATTCATGTGATAGCAGTTTCTCTCGGGAACCGATTGCCAACAAGAAGATATACCTCTGGTAGTTGCTCAAAAACAAGTCCTGGTCTCATATTTCGGGCACCTTGTTGTTGGTGAGATGCACTATATGTCTCAGCCGACAAAGCCTCCGGTACACTATCTGCAATGTAAGCATGTAGCGTCACTTTTCCTTATGCAATTCAGACTTCACGATAAAGAACAATGAATTATCATGAACCCGAGCTACTTGAACACGGAAAGATAGGGAAAAAAAAACTCGGTGCGCTAAAACCTGAAGGTTCAAAATAGCCAGCCAGGATAGCAGGGATGAATTTTGAATTTCAAGAGCTGTTCGGTTGAACCTTCCAAGAAACAACGCATTTTGGCCTAGAGCAGAAGAACCGAGATGGGTTGGAGAGTGCGGAGACATACTTGCAGGAGTAGGGAGTGTGGTGCAATCGTCTTCACGGATTGCCGACGACGGCGCAGACCAAGAAGGCCCTGCAGGTGGGAGGTGCCGACGAGAAGGGGAGTTGGACATCGCGATCTATAGCGTGAGAGCCTGGGAAGTTTCGGCTATATATATGCCGATGTTTTCGCCGGAGACGGGGCGGTTCCGTTTCCTGATCGAGCTCCAACACGGACATGAGTTTATGCACTTTGAGCTCTCACATTCAAATCTCGTAACATAAGGCCAACTCCACCGGGCGACCCTATTCTGTCCGCCCCGTCCGTTTGGGGTAAAATGGACAAACCGGGCGGCTCAGCGCGCGGGAGCAAACGGACTTTTGACCGTTTTGTGTCCGCTTTCGACCCATCTGCGGTCCAAGTTTGCGCCGCTGTTGGGCCGAAATGGACAGCGCGCGGATGGGCAGGACGCGCACGCTTGTACGCCCCTGGCCCGCATGTCGGTGATACAAAGCAGCCCCTCCCCCCCTCGCGGCCCCTTTGGCGCCATTGCCCCCACGTCCCGCCCGTCCCACTCCCTCCCCCGTCCATTGTCGACGCCCAGCCGAACTCCGGCGGGCTGGCCGTTGACCCGCCCAGAATGGCCAAGAAGAAGAAGGGCAAGGCGCCAAGGAAGCTGCGGTCGGAGTGCACGCCGGAGGAGATCGCCAAGTTGGACGCGAAATCGGGGAAGAGGAGGGGCCGGAGGGCGGTCGCCAAGACCAACATCGCCGCGGCCAAGAGAGCCGCCGAGCGTGCTGCGATAGAGGCCGCGCGGCACAAGGCCGAGGTCGAGGAGAAGGAGGCCATCGTCAGCAAAGCGCACGCCCTTCTCATGGCTGGCATTTGTCATCCGCCCGGTTTCTCTGGAGGGGCCGTTGGTCCGGCGAGCACAGGGTCGTCGGTCGCCCGGCCTCCGCACTGCCAGTCGCCGACGTCGCGGACCACGCCCTTGTCGCCCGGATTTCCTCCGCCAAGGCACGACGGCCAGACCCGTTTCGGGGGGTCGCCGGATGTTGGCATGTTCGCACCGTCCACACCACGCCCTTCGGCCGTCATCGACCTCAACGTCACCCCTGGTTCCAGTAGCGGCGGCCGGCCGGCCGTCGAGATGCAAAGAAAGCAAGCACGGCCGCCATTTACCGGCACCATGCCGTCCCCCCGCGTCTTGTTCGACGGAATGCCAACACCAACGGCACCGGTCGATGACCCCTACTACGACCAGTTCATGGAGGAAGTGATCTACGAGGGTGGGTACGTCCCTGTCTACGACCCCGAGGAGACCCAAAGTTAGGATGGCCGCGGCCAGTTCACTGCCGATGAAGAGGCCGACGACCGTCCTGACTACGACCATGGTGACTCGTGGCATGAAGACGATGACATCTATGTCGAAGGTGGTGGTGATGAAGAAGAAAGCAATGACGTTGACATTACTGGAGAGCCATTGTTCATCGACGAGCTGACACAAAGAGCGGAAGCATAAAAGAAGAGGAAGAGCATTCGCACGGGTTCATACACAAAAGATGAGGACAAGTTGATTTGCCAAGCTTGGATGGAGATTAGCCAAGATCCAAGGACCGGCATGCAACAAAAGGGTATAGTTTTTTGGACGAGAGTCCACAAGACATTTCATGAAAGGAAGTTCTTTGAGCACTACCAATTTGAAAGCAACCGTGGCATCGGCTCGATTCAAAAGAGATGATTGTTCATCCAACAAGAGTGCAACAAGTATGAAGCCGCATTTGAGAGCGTTCAAGCACGGCCCGTGAGTGGTCTCAGTGTTGGGGACATGGTACGCTCTCATTCCTTGCCCTTTCCTTGCTACGGCCATGAGACTTCGGCCTTGTACATGTTTGCATGTTCACTTGTTTATTGATCATATGGTGTAGGCATTTCAATCTTTGGAGGCATTCAAGGCCCGGCACAATGACAAGCCGTTCACTCTTACGCATTGTTGGACTAAGTTCAAGGACCAATACAGTGAACTCCAAAGGAAGAGAGGCCTGAAGACGGCCAAGTACGTCGGAGGTGGAGATGGCGAGGCGTTGAAGAGGCCGAGGGGCAAGACCAACTCCAAGGTTGACGACATACGTGATGACTCATCCATGGCATTGCATGACACTTTGCATGGCATGATGTCGCAAAAGGATGTGAGGGATGAGAAGAAGCGGCAAAGCAAGGACGAGCAAATGAAGCAATACCTAGAGCTTCAAACGAAGAAGCTTGAGATGGAGGAAGCGGCCAAGAGAAGGAATATCGATATGGAGGAGGCGGCCCGACAGAGGCAGCTCGACATGGAGGAGGCGGCCCGGCAAAGGCAGCTCGACATCGAGGCCGACAACGTCAAGGCCAGGTAAAGGCAGCTCGACATTGAGGCCACCAATGCCGCCACCAAAGTGAAGGAGGTGGCCCTTGCGATCATGAGCGTGGACTTGTCGAAGATGAGCGAGAAGACGAGGGCCTGGTTCGAGGCCAGGCAAAAGGAGATGCTCGACGCCGACAGCCTGAACTAGGTCGCCCGATCGTCCATGGCGTGCCCGTTTTTTGGAGGCTGGCATGGGTGCCGCTCGTCCGTTGGGCCGCTCGCTGTGTGCCGGCGAGAAAACCATTCATTTTGAAGGCCGACTGTGTTGCCGGCCGCTGGCTGTGTTGCCGGCGAGGACAACCATTCATTTTGGAGACTGGCTGTGTTGCCGGTCGCTGGCTGATGCCGGTGATGGACGTGTAGGCCGCTGGCTTTGTTGCCGGCGTGCGTGATGAACTGGGACCATAGGCTTGGCATTTGAAACGTTGCTTTTTTAACAAATAGACGCAGACAGGATGTGGTAAAGGATGCGGCCGCGCGCTGGGCGCACGGCCACCGCATCCCAAGACATGCCCGAACACGACCCCATCCTCCTGCCCAAACGGATAGAATTCGGACAAGTTTAGGGTCGCGCGGTGGAGTTGGCCTAAGGATATAGCCAATTCAATTTGTATTAGTGTCGTTGTAGTGTAGTGGTAAGTATTCCCGCCTGTCACGCGGGTGACCCGGGTTCGATCCCCGGCAACGGCGCTTCATTTTTTGTATCTCCTATTCTTTTTCTGCACTTCTACATCATTTTTCTTTTTTGCAAATATTTCTGACAAGCCATGGTATCCCTGTCTTGTCAGTACGTACAAATAGGTCATGGAGATGCGCCCCCGGGCGCGTTCGCGGGCATTGACTGGTCAAGCCTCATATGTTAGCTTCGACATCTACGTCCCTCATATCCGAAACCCCAAACCAATGCAATCCATGCAACACTATGTATCAGTATGATCAACACGCAGTTCATCGGGTCACCATTTCATCGCCGGACAAAACAACACGTAGTTCATCGGAGTTCATCGGCGGACAAGCCAGGAGGAAAGTTGGAAAGTTTTTAACTGCATGAAGCTTTATTCTGATGCAGGCACTCTCTGCCAACCCAAACTAGTACTAACAACATGAAACATGTTAATATAGACGTAATTCTCCCAAAATCTGAAACCAGCCACATTGGTAACCAGTATCTACTGGTCGATGCTATGGCAGCGACTACAGGGCTCTACTACCTTGAACTGCACATGCTTTGGAACTCTCCACGCGATGCACCTACTCGCAACCTCCACGGCTCTATGAGCTCCCACGACATTTTTCTTGCTCATTGCCCAACACTGACCATCCTTTGTTGAGGCGGGGCATCTGCCAATGGTGCCCAACCTTCTATTGGAGAAGTAGATTGTGTCTACCGTTAGGCATTCGAGGGAAGCCGCGCTCTCGAGGATGTGGATCATGAGCTCGACCAAGCTATTGGATGGATAGAATCCTGTGATCAGCACCTGCCTGAGGCGGTCATGCCGGTACTCTAGCTTTCGTCTAGAATACTCGTTGTCGTCTCCAGAAACGTGATCAGGTCTGCTAGCACCCTCCTCTATCTGCATATACATTAGTGTGTCATTGTTACGATAAAAAAGTGTACCACACTATTCGTCATAGATAACTTCTAGTGTTATGGATAGTGACTTACCTGCAAAATGAAAGATTCCAGGACAGGAGAAGCAGCAAGAAAAGAAACCAAAGAGAAGATGTCACGGCTTGGAGGGATGGGCATTGCTGCTCTATGGAGTATGATTTCCAGGTTCTTGAGGTGGGGGAACTTGGAGGGCAACATTGGAATTGGAGTATTGACTTTCTGAATAAGGACAAACCCCAAGATTAATCAAAATGTGTTGTATACATAATTTAGTTGTGCATTGTATGCTTAAATATGTCCATGTAGTTTGGTCATTAAGATGTTATTAAAGCCAAAAACATCTACCTCTCCATAGGGTGAGTGCAGGGTAAGACTCTCAACATTCCGTATGATGGATGGAAGCTTGGTACGAGCATCAGAGAGAAGAATCATTGACAAATCTATATTCTGAAGTTGAGTAGAAGAATTTCTCACCGAAATTTCTGTCAGGATCCCAATGCTATCAGAGTGAAAGGAGCAGAGATTTGGTGCATCCACCTGTACTGACTGCAGCCCTATGCATTGTATCAAACTAAGGTATTTGAGCTGGTGCAACGTCCAAGCTATTCGCAAGCAAGTTAACCCCCAACAAAAGGAGATGTCCAACTTCTCTAGGACGGAAGATTTTGAGAGCAAGAGCCCTAATTCTTTTTCTGTAACGCGGATAACAGACAAATGTAAACATGTCAATCTTCTCAAGATGCCAATTGATGAGGTGGGATGAAAAGCGCAGCCGGAGAGGTGGAGAGATTGGATTGAAGTTGCAGCTGCCTCATCAGACAAGAGGGCACACGGGAAGATGTATTCTTCCTTCTGTAGAAGTATTGACAAGTCAAGTTCTTTGATCCCAGTCTTGACGGTGATCTGGAGCCACCTGTCGACGACGGAGGCTTTGATGCTGCCATAAGTGGGAAGTATAAGTGTAAGTTTAAGTGTCTCCACCTTAATCCCATTGTTGTGATGGTTTTCAAGAATCTGGTCTACTTTTTTTATGATACAGGCTTCTTGTTCTTTCAATGTCTTATCAGCCAATCCAAGTGTATGTTGGTTGAGTACAAGGTTGGAATAGCATCTCCAGGAACGTAGAAATCCACGACACACGCAGGCAGCACGAGCAGCGTCTTTTACTGTCAAGAGGGAGTGTATACAATGTATAATATCCTGCAGAATCGAGGTTGACAAGTTCAACAGATAGATTGGAACTGCTAGTAGCTAACTGCAGCTAGTAGTTGACTGTAATATATACAACAAATCACATTTATATAGCTTGCTAATTTATGCATGTAATTTGCATCAAGGCCTGCAATGGATGATAACTGTTCATCAATAGAGCTGAGAGCTAATAAGTACTCACTCTAATTTGGGAACAAGAGTGTTAGAAGTATAATTATGTTTAAGTTAGAGATTAGGAGTTCGAGATAGAATTGGTTTAAACCATGTATGTCTTGCCCTCTGCTGCAAGTCTCCTTCTTAAATTGTATCTATATATACCCCTACGAGGGTCAGATCAATACAACGCAACAACAATTTCAGCCATCCTATAATTTCTATAGAGAGTAGATGCATGCATAACTATTGTTGCCGATTTACAATGAACTGAACCAGTGATTCTTGTGGAGACAAGCATTGTCACAATTTACACGGCAACCAATGAGAAATTGTTAGCAAAAGGCAAACCAAAGTCCTAGGCTAAGATTGATCAGTTGTAGTTTTCCTGGTGGTCCCGTGATGGACGTTTCTAGAGCCAGCAAGGACATATGGTACACACCTCTGGGAGATCGCTTGTTGGCAGGATGCACCAGCCGTCGAAGCCTCTGTTCCACTATCTGCAAGTCATCATAGCTTGTAAATATGCATGTAGTAGTATATCACCTTTCCTCACGCAACTCAAATTTTGCCCTCAAGAACCCTGGCTAGCTACTTGAACAATGAAAGCTACAAAAAAAATTGGTGCGGGAAAACCTGAAAGTCCAAAACAGTCAGCCAGGATAATCTGAAGCTTTCTATCGATCTGAGCTCTTAGAGCAACTAGGTTTTCTGTGAGACAGATTTTAATTAATGTACTTCTTGACGTGCTTGAATTTTGGGTTTAGGGTTTAGGGCAAACTAGTAAATATGCACGTGCAATGCACGTCTATTTGGACTAATAAGTGTGCACGTGCAACACGCGTCTATTGGGATTAACACATTATACTATATTTAATACAAGACAATTTATTCATAAATTTGAAATTTCCCTATAAAGTACACAATCTCTTATTCCCAACTCATACAAATAATTTGAAATATCGTTTCTCCTTAATCAACATGTCTCCTGTATTAAAAGACCACCCACTTTTCCCAATGTATAAAACTCAAAATTATTTAGAAGATTCATCATGATTCTCCATATGCACATATTTATGAAAGTATAATCACACATGAAAATGTCACTTAGGCCTTGTACAATGGAAGGTGCTTAGGAGAGGTGCTTAAAGAAATAAATCAGACTTTCCTTAAGCATCGGTGCTTATTTGTACAGGATAGACGCTTAACTAAGCGTCTCTCCTGTAGAAATAGGCACCGGTGCTTAAGAAAAACTCGGTTTATTTTTTTAAGCACCCCTCTAAACACCTCCCATTGTACAAAGCCTTAGGACACGCTAAGAAACCGTTTCAGTGCCAACAAACTTCAGTCAAGAATTATTATTACAATTGAGTGTCAACCACACAATAGCGGGAAGAGACCTCTATGGTTTGTTAAAAAGAGGAAGCCATTGTCACATAGAGAAGTGTAGAGATGTCTTGACTACATAGAATCAGCTGTGAAACAAGACAAAAAAATGCTAGTTGGACCATCCGATTCTACTATTACACCACAAGTATTGTAATGTCTGGAAGCAAGAAAAATGACTTACTTTATTATGAAAATAGAACATGTAAGCCAAATAAAAATTACATTGATAAATTGCATAATTATACTTGTTAATCACAGGACAAAAGCATTAATATGACAACTTGGAACAGTTATTTGAGTACTACACATTTCTTTAAGGGCTCAACATTCTAAAATTTTGACAATATAACAAATATCCTCTCAGTTTGTAGTAATAATGATACGTAGGCTACCACTTGTAAGAATAACAGTGGCAAAAAGGGGCCAACAAATGCCGGTTTAGAAAGAAAAAACTGCAGATATGCTTCCAATTTTAGCAACTCTAGTGGATAAAACATACCTTACCTCCCAAGTCAGGAAAATAGTCAAATGAAAAAATGTACTTCTTATAAGTAGTAGAGATGAAGTCATAAGGATCATGATTCAAGATATTCGGAGAAACATGGTTGGTCTCTCTGTATGATGCGAAGTCGTTGCAGTCAGTAGAAGAGTGACCTGCCCTCCAGGCAGAAGACGAAGGCGGCGACGGCACGTGTGCGTGTTCGAAGGAAGCCGCAGCTCCTCTTCGCATGTCTCCCATTGTGGCTCGCGTGGGTGGTGGGCTGGTGACAACAGGCGACTCGCGATCGCGATTCCCTGATAGGAGACGATAGGATGCGCTCGCGATTAGTTTCCTAATAATTAGATGTGTTTGTGATTAGTTATCTAATAGGATGCGTCCGTGATTATTTTCCTAATAATTAGATGTGTTCGTGATTAATTTCCTAATAGGATGCGCTCGTGATTATTTTCCTAATAATAGGATGCACCCGTGATTAGTTTCCTAATAATAGGATGCGTTTGTGATTAGTTTCCTAATAATTAGATGTGTCTGTGATTAGTTTCTTAATAGGATGTGTCCGTGATTATAGTTTCCTAATTGACCAGGCGTGGACTCATATTTTCCTCCACGGTGGAGTACGGTCAGTCAATATAAATTGCTAAGTGCACACAGAGAACAGATTAGGTTAAGGCTAGCCGTTAGATTGACTTTAGTGGGACTAATCATGCGGTGGTAATGTATCCGTGTACGTTTTGTGGGGTGTATTTAAAAAAAGATCATGTTTGCTCTTTTATAAGTAGTATAGAAAAACAACTGGGAGCACAACAGAGATCAACGAATTTTCGCCTAGAGCAGAAGGACCGACCGAGATGGGCTGAAGAGTTGGGAGACATACTTGCAGGAGGAGTAGAGAGTGTCGTGCAGTCGTCTTCAGAGATGGCCGTCAGCGGAGACGGAGAAGGCCCTGGTGGGAGGTGCCGACCACAAGGGGTGTTGGCCATGGCGATCTATAGCGTGAGGCCGGTGCTATATCTTCTTTTTTAGGGTTTGTTTCGGTTATTTATGTCAATATTTTCTCCGGCGATGTCGGCGATTCCGTTTCCTGATGTGTGTTAAATTACAAGTTCGAAGATATAATCTTCACAACTTAAAATTGCATCAAAAGTCGTTGTAGTATAGTGGTAAGTATTCCCGCCTGTCACGCGGGTGACCCGGGTTCGATACCCGGCAAAGGCGACCTTATTTTATTTTATTTTTTGCCTCTTTTTTTTTTCTGTTTCTGCACTTCTCCAATTTTTTTTTGTTTCTGCACTTCTACAGCAATCGCGTCAGCATTTTCATCCGTCCTAGCCAAACATGTTACAGTTCGTCAATAGGTCATGGAAATGCAAGCCCTTGGTACAATCAATTTCATGCATGCACATTTTCCCTGCCTGAACATAAGCATCATGTTAGTCAGTTATTTTTTATTATTTTCTTTAGAAAAGGAAGCGGCCTCTGCATCTGATCGATGCATGCAGCCATTTTATTAATTATACTCAGAGACCTTACAAAGCATTACATCAGTATAAGCCTGGAACCACCATCCTGGCGACACTTGTCGCTACTCCTATCCCCTTAATGCAGGGGTGCCGAATGTCCGAGCCTAATACCAAACAGACATTGCACCACAACCTAACATCTAAAGACGGATGTCCCATCCCAACCACATACCGGGAATGGGTCACACACCAGTCCGGCGCACTCACCAAGGCTACTGCCGCCGTCATCCACATAACCATCTCCAGAGCAGGCACCGACGCAAAGACCTTGCCAGGTCAACTGTCAACGCCACCATGATGCCAGACAGCGCCACCGCCTTGCAGAGAGGAAAGATACAATGGCGATGGAAAGCAAGAGCTAGGACGAGGAGGGTACCACCGCCGCCACCACCCGCACCCCAACAGCGCCCACCGACCACCAA